TAGTCTCCCTTCTCTGCCAAAGTGCTATTTAAAATGGAGAAAGCGAGTTCGAATCCCACCCCAATCCTCGTTGTCTAACACAATAAACAAATTTGGTTTAGATATACATATACAAGATCGTGTGCTTAATGTAGAGAATTTACTATCGTCTCTTTTTAAATTGAAGAACAAAAGTGCATAAAAAGAAGAAAGACAGCACAAAAAAATTGACACCGATACTTCATCAACTCGGAGTGTTCGGTAGAAGAACAATACCCCTTAATAAATAGGCCCCAATTAATAAGGCAACACCTCCTCTATGAGGTGCTGAATAAGGTAGGTCATTTCATTTCCAATAAGTTCTATTACCATACTTTGCCTTGAGGGGTTGGTGTTAGAGGTCTGATGTTAGAGGTTGGTCTATCGAGAGTTAGTAGTACTGTAGAGTGTATACCACTACAAAAATACAATTAGAATTCACTATGTATATAGCCATGTTAACTCGATTCTACGTTGGAGTACCTTTTCATAGATGAAAGTTGATATTGTCAATAATACCTCACAAACTATAATACTGAAAGCCAGAATTTCCGGTAAAAAGTTACTATAGCGAACGGTGAAATTATGAAATGAATGATACAAATGCCGTATACTTTGGTTTATTAACCAGAATTTTTTTTTGATCAGAAATGTCTTTACTATACAAATATAGAATTGTGTCCGAGTTTTTTTCTCCATAAGTAGTACATTTAAGAGGAAAGGCAGGAAAAAAAGAAAAAGTCATGTCCCACTATCGCGTCAGAAACGAGAGCAAGACTTGTTGTAATGTTTAATTTTTTAGAATAGACGGTAAAAAAATGAATGTTTTAAATTCGAAAAAAAAATTTTACTTACCAATTTTGCAGTTAGATGCTCATTAAATTAGGTAATCAGTGGACAAATCAGTGAAGAAAGTAATCAGTGAAGAAAATTTTTACAAATCGAAACAAGTAAAAAGGAAAATTTTAAAGGACTTTTCGTCGGAAAGGAGGGGGGGGGGATTAAACTTAATTCCAACCCTTGACTTTTCGAAATGTAGTAGCAAAAAAGAAAACCTTCCTCTTTTATTTCCATGGTTGCAAGATTCGGTTTTAATAACACTTATTTTACAGCAATGAAGCTTTCTTTGCATTCTAAATAATTTTAGTTTTACTAGCTATAAAATAAAATTTTCCATCACCTTAACATTACAGCATATAATAGATGAAACACTTGCATTTCATAAAAGAATGTAGAAATTCTAATGGAAGAGGATAGAGAGATGAGTAAAAGAAAAGTGGTACAGAAAATGAATATGTGATGTTGCAAATCATTTTCAGACAAATGTTTGTTAACTCGAATATTTTTACAGTTATTTTTGAGTGAATAGTATGCATGTAATAATATAACTGTAATTATAAGTAAAAATATGTAATAATCTGTAATAATATAACTGTAATTAACCTGTAGCATGCAGGCTGTTTCGCAAATATCGATCTTTATATATATTTCATACTTTTTGTCAAAAATGAAACACGATAATATAAAGAAATTTAGGACCACAAATTAGTAATTTAGCAAGAATAAAAAACGTTATCAAAATCTAACGAATCACTTCTGAAGAAGGCGAGACTGAGGACATGAAAACCCGTTTGTCTGTTAGAGGAAACAGTAGTTATAGGGGATTAATAGAAAGACCTCAATGAGTTTCAACAGGAATTTAAACTGTTATTGATGTTCTGTTATTCCTCCACAGATTTCGATTATTTTTTTGATATTTTTTCTTTGTTCAATATTAATTTGCTATCGCTAATGTGTTAAAAAGTGTTATCGAAAGAATAATAATAAAACCTGCTCTATACAAAGAATAACCTATCAATAGTTGAACACCGCCTTCTTTCATTGTTTGAAACATAATTTGTATTTGAAACATTAAAAATATAATGATGCTATTTTTAAGGGAAGTATATGAACTAGAAATGCCTTGTTAAATAAATTAAAGAAAAAAACACATTTCAAAATATCAATATTTATAGAAAAAAATAACTATAATTAATGGTATAAATTATTTTTTGGGAATATAAAAAAGCTATTTTACTACTTTTCCTGCGCGAAGTTCTAAAACAAATATTTCATTCTTTTCTTTAGCCTACATCCGACACTTTTCCAAATTCGAATGCAGAAGTTTGAAAAGAATCATAGTCCAAGAATTTCTTAGTCCAAAAAAAGGAAAGTGTATGTTTTTTTTTCCCCGAAAAGAACAAAGATTTCCCTGTCCTCCGCTATGTTTCGATTTGGGAAAACGGAAGTGAAATGAAGAAAAACCGAAGAAATAAAGTCATTTTGTTTTCGAATGAATGAGAAAGATATCGTGTTTAGTTGTTTTGTAGCTGGACCACCTCATTTGTCACATATCTGAACGAAAGAAGGAAAAATTGTTGCCAAAAGATAGTATCGAACACTAGGAAATGAGAAAAAAAAGTTTTTTTGGAAAAGTTTGTTGGTAACTTCCTACGAAATAGCAGAGAAACAAAATAGTTGTAATTCATTAATAACAAATTTACATGGCAACGAAAAACGCCCCTTCGTATTTGGTTTGTAAGATGTTCTGATTAGTTTGCTGAAGAAAGGAAGTTCAGGAATTTAACAATGAATCATTGGCATCTTAAATGGAATTTTTTTGTTTAATTAAAAGTAACCAAGGATAATTTGATATTATGAGAATATTTCAAGCTTTTCTGGAGGGCAATAATTCAATTAGTGAATTTTAATTAAGTGTGTGGGAATTTTCCATTTTAAACCTTTTTATTTTAATTGTTTCCTGTCGATTTCAAAAATTATATGTATTTTTTAAAGTGATAGTTGGTAATTTTAGGCTAGACGCTATTATCTGATAAAAGCTGATTCCAGTTTCATTTTAATTGAAATATTTCACTGCTGCAAATATTCCAAATTTTATTTATTTCTGAAATAATGATGAAATTAAATTAAATGAACAAGAGGTTACATTATTTTAGAAAAAAATTTATTAATAAAACTTATGTAATTTTAATTAAATATATATTTTTTAATTCAAACCACTCTTGTGGAAAAAGGAAAAAAATGATTCACTTACAACTGTTATCATTCATGATTTATTAATTATACTAGGGAAGAACATATTTTTTTGCAATTATACAAGTACCTAATCTTGCCTAATTCGAGTGTGGAAAATTCAAAACGGAAATTAGTTTTGCTTTTAAAACTGCAGATTTTTTTTTAAAAATGACAATTTTAGTCTTTTTTTTGTCGAAATGTACAAGTTAAAAAATATTCTAAAAACAGGGGTCAAGTTAAGGTTCTGACAAACCTTTAGGAGATAAATCTTCAGAATTAGCATAGGAACTCATGCTCGGAAACGTCATCGTACGCAGCTAGGACTCTTTCTCTGTTATGAACTGTTTCTTCATGCTCTTATGAGCAGGTCTAAATAAGAAATTTTACCTCCTATGCAATTATAACTCTGATAATGTGCTATAAATCCCCTAAAAATGTGTTGATATTTATGTGATCTCCCTGTTTTTATAACAGTTTTTGTCTATTTCGACAAAAAATAGATTAAAAATATCATTTAATAAAAACTGTAGCTTGGAAAGAAAAACCGATTGCAGATTTGAAATCAACGAAGTTAAAATATCCAAAATCCGTTTAAAAAAATCTGCAACAGAAAACAAAACAAAAAATTGCTGCCTATTGTTATTCATATTTTATTATAGTTTAAAAAAGTAATATAATTAAATGTCATTAAAAAAATATTATAGCTTTAATATTAACAATATTTCATATGTTTTAGAGTTTTTTTTTTAAATTTATTTTAAAGCTTTAAAAACTAGAACAAAATTTTAGAAAATCTTACAACAACAAAAAAAATCGTTAATATTTTCAAAGAACAGAATTATAATTACTACTTTGTTGTAAATCATTTAAAAAAAGTTAGCTGTCATAAATTACAACAGGTATATTCCGAAATCAGAACACGTAACATAAACCAATCAATGCTTGGAAATAAAAACATTATTTATTATCTCAGGGTATTTAGAATGATTGCCTATTTTCATAAACATGTTTACTATAAGAGTATAAAGGAAACGAACATGAAGGTTTCATCTCTGATTCATACCAGTTATTCTGAGATTTATTTTGATGTAATTTTGTGATGCAACACAAGAATATATCCTTTCACTATATTACAGGTCACCATTTGGATTAGCAGCACGCACGGAATAAAAAATCCTAATATTTAGTCTACTTCTTTTAACAATTCTTAAAGCAAGGAACGACATATAAACGCTTCCAAAAGAACAGTTATTATAAGAGATCATATTTTTTGAAACAAAATTTATTTTACTTCAGTAATAACAGTGTTGAAAATTATTATTAGGATATTTCATACGAAGGGAAATTATGATTATTGTTATATGTTATATTGTCTAGCATTGTTATATGTTATGTTGTTATATTACCTATATTACCTCTATTTCTCCTGATTCAAATTCAAAATTGCCATTAATATGTTTCATAAGAAATGAAATTATGATTATATTTTTCTCTCACCTCTCTTATTTCTCATTCAAATAAATACAAGCACTTTCTTATTTATTCTTTCTTTCTTTTTTTTAAAACATTTTTGATGAAATCGGACATCTACTGCTAATTCTGAAAGTAACAAAATAAGAAATGGGAAACAACGTTTGTTTTTAAATTAAAATATTGTATCCCTCAATAGTTTAATGTAAAAATAAATATATTTTAATATTGTATCCTAATATCCCTCACTTTCCTAATGTTCTGAAACTTCTTTCTAATTTAATTTCTACTTTAGCACCCTTTGATTCAAAGTTCATATCGTCTCACCTGTTTCGTATCTCCCTTCTTTTATTATTTTGTTCTGTTTAAACTCTTTTAAAAATTAGATTTATAATATATTTAAAAGTCAACTACTACAGAAATAAACGACTTAGCTGTTAAGTCAAACGGCATAAAGCCTAATAAAATACTTTATTTCACTCCATTTTCATCATTTTTGTACCAATCCTGGAAGCCTCACAGAAGTTAGAGCTTTCCCAAAAGCCATCGGAAACTGATACATAATTATACGAATCGCTTCTTTTCTTATTTCTTCCCTTAACTCCTCTTCTACGGCATTATACACGTACTGAAAGATGCCCAAATTCGATGGTCTGACATTAATGTCCCCAAACTTCGTAATCTCCAACAAATTCAACTTCGCTGTCAATGACGCTGGTGCTCCTGAGACAGCTGACTTCACCAACGTTTCATTGATGTATCCAGTAACTTGAAAAGGAATCGGTAGCAATTGTTCTACAGTCGCCTTGACGTCGTAAACTACGCTGAAGCCAAAGAATCTCATTACGCATTCCAATTTGACTTCCCGAAGATTTATGGTGGGTCCCTCGCACTGTGTAAATCTTTGAACTTTGGATAAACCATTGAACATACCATCGGTGAAATCTGCTCTTCCTGATATAGGAATAAGACCCATTTGGTACGTAAACGGTATACTGAAGTCTGGCAATGGAGCTGGGTCTAAATTCATGGCAAGTATCTCACGTTGTAGGGGTTCTTTTATGACGGCATCAAGGAAATCATCAGCAATTGATGCGAATGTGACGCTACCTGCAAAATTACACAACACATTAATACATTACATATTGATTAATGAATTGATTAATATTTAATAACCACTTAATAATAATCTCACTAATTTATTAAAAATACATTTAATCTTCTTTTCGTCACGCAGTGGACTGATCGTCAAGACTCGGTTCTAAGCAGATCACTGTAGTCAAACATCACTGGCTGCGGTCAGTGTGTGGGTGGGTGACCAATTGGATAAGTCTGAGCAGGGATCGAGGGTGTGCGGTATTGGTCCTCGTTAAACTGTTCTACCGTAAAGTGCTCGACTTCGCGTGCAGGTCGTCGGGCTACCGAAGCGAGGATGCCATCCCCTCTGCAGAGGATCAAAATTGGGATGGCATGTCTTCGGATTGTCGTCAGAGATGTTTCCCAGACCGTCACCAATAGCCCTTTGTGCAGCTCTAGTGCGATGTAAATGAACAACAACAACAATAATCTTCCTTTCTCTCACACTTTACCATCAATGTAAAAAAAAAATTCTCCATAATATTTCGTAATCACGATTACCATCACAAGGCTTATAACTTCTTACGCTTTTCGTAAAATTTCATCGATTGGTCAACTTTATGTTTTAATCTATTATCTTTTGTTTTGAAAATTCGATTTCAAAATATTTTTTACATCACTGCATGCAAATAATCCAGAAGTTTATATGAAATCCACTTTGTTCCAGCTGTCTCGTGGTGAGGTTTATAAAAATGTTGGCAAAATCACCAACAATTCTGAAAACTTTCGGCTTTGCCTGCGTACTACTTTATATAATAATTTGAAAAAAGCGCTGTAGTTGACAGCCCTGAATTCATGGAAAACTAAGTTTATATACGTAGCTAGTAGATTTAATGTCAACTAGAATTTATTTTAAATATGCGTGATGCTCAGGGGATAGAGCGTTCGCCTTCCAATAAGGCAAACCGGGTTCGAATCCCAGTCGATACGAATTTCGCATCCGGCTTACACCGACCACAGTGCTGACGTGTATTATCCTCCGTGGTAGACGGATCATGGGTTAGAGTCCTCTTACCGTCAGGCGAACCGTGGGAGTTTCTCGTGGTTTTCCACTCCATGTAGCGCAAATGCGGGTTAGCTCTATCAAAAAGTCCTCCACGAAGGCAAATTTCTCCCCATACTCGATCCAGAAGTTCCCTTGTCTTCTGGATTGGGTTCAAAATTACAAGGATACGGAGTTGAACATTAGTAGTCGTAAACCCATAAAATTATGTCGGCTGTTCAATGACGGTTATAAAAAATAAAATATAAAAAAGTATGTAATTAAAATTTCTCGCATCAAAATATTTTTTTTGACTAAACAAGTAAAAGTTAAGTGTTCAATGACGCAGATCAATTTTTTTTTACTAATGAATTTCTGTTTGCTATACGTAAAACAAATTATTTACTTAGTTTGAAATAAATCATTTGCTTGCTTTCAAAATAATAATTTATTTAGTTAGAAACAAATCATTTATGTAGTTGGAAACTAAACATTTATTTAGTTAGGAACTTATTCCAGAAAACTGTATTAATTTGGGTTAAGAAGATTGAAGAGGCTGGTAGTGTGTTAGAAGTGAAGCATGTTGTATCAGCAAGGAATTGAAACAAAATCGTTGACGAAGTTAAGTTTATTGCCTAGAATCCTGACTATAGCGCGTGTTCAGCAACTCCCAGTTGGTCGACATTGTAAGGTGCCTCCTCAAAAAATCGTATTTGTTTGTGTGAATAAGTTTGAAGAAAATGGTAGTGAGTTTTATGTGAACCATATCGTTTGAATAACTTAAACAAGCTGTCTCTTGACCGTTGATCTAGCAGAGAATGTTGTTCAGAAACTTTAACACTACTAGAGCAGTTTTAAAAAGTACATCAATTTGAAAAGAAACCATCTATTTTAAAGAAACGTTGTTGCTGTTTTCACATACGCCATTTGCCAATATCAGCAACCCTACTTGAAATCAAGCGAATTTTTAAGGCTTTCTTTGTTTTTCACTTGTGTCATCCAGGGCAAAGAATACGATTTTGTCACACCCATACATCATAGCCCGTTTTACAGGGAGGACTCATTCACACACCTTTCATCCTTTGACCTGAACAAGAGATAGATCAATCTCCAATTCAGTACCCCCAAGGATATTGACTTGTTTTGGAAGCTAGAAGGACTTTGTGACCCCGGCAGACCTAACGTGCACCATTTAATACAGGAGGATTATTCAGCAGGCTGCATTCGAACTCCCGTTCTCACAAACACGAGTTCAATCTCCTATCGACCAGGCTATTCTCTAAAGAAATGTTTCTAAATGTGTTGCCTATTTTAGTGTATTTATAAGCTACGGCTTCCTTATAATGAATATATAATGTAATGAACTTAAACTCATCACTAACTTAAAATAACATGTTTTATGTACTTATAATAAACTAAAAAACGAAACTCAGCAGCACGACAGCCCATAGAGGGCCAAGGCCTACTGTGCCCATCTCAGTTTTCTTGACCTTGGGCTCTGGGGTGCCGGAGCAGATGTTCCGGTTAGGTGGTCAGTCGAACTCGCAACCCCCAGTGTTTAGTTCCCAAGCATGATTGGTACTCATTTATCGACCCACTGAAGGGATGAAAGGCTGAGTCAACCGTGCCCGGCCCGAGGATCGAACCAAGGACCTGTGGCACAAGAGCGCGAAGTGCTACCACTCAGTCACCGGGCGTCATGTACTTATAATAATCACATTAAATTTTCATGAAAATATTTTTATAATATTTAATGTCAATATGCACTGAATAAAAGTTAATATTCATGTTCATATTTCAATTTAATTTACCATTAAAAACATATTCATTTTTTACATTTCCACATCCTGAAAAATCTACTAACCCATTAACATTTATACAAATCTATCTTCTAAACAACGTATAACTGAAAATGATATTTGCAACATTATGTCAAATTTATCCTTATTTTATTCACACCTTTTAATACCTAAACCAATGAATGAAACTGTTTCTTGGGCTTTTTTTTCTTTCCTTTTTTTAAAACAAATTTGAAAGATAAAAAGAAAATGACAAATGAAAAATCGTCGGTATTTTTTTTTCTTCTTTCAACCACCCACTGAAAGACTCCCAAAGGGAATTTCGAGACTCCCTCTCGAATTCGAGAGGGAAAAAAACGATGAAAAATTGGATAAAAATCCCAACCGAAACTGATTTACCAAGAGGATGGGGAAAAAAATTACATCCTCACATCTTTGCACAGAATGAAAAGAAATGCATGTAACTGGTTCATTTTTAAACAAGGAATAAATCTTATTCCAGCATTTGAGCTAATCTATTAAAATTCTTATGATTATGAGAATATAACGTCAATCAAGTTTTATTAAAAAATAATAAAAATATTTCGTTTTAAATGTTTCTATGACTTGCGAAAAGCATTGTTCTAACGTGACATTTCAATCAGTACTGAATGATGAAAGATTTTTTCTTTTTTTTTTGTATCTAAGTAGTCTCTTTTAGTACACTACGGAACAATTGCTAAGAACGGATGATAATATAGCAACGATAGCCATCATGAAATTGAAGGTAGGAAAATGTGAAAATTAGCATAAGTGCGAGATACAGTAAGATGTGCTTTGCAAATGCAAATTTTCGGTTGTCCAACTGGTTTGATCTGGCCACATGATAGCACTGATAAAAGATATAAAGGACTTGACAGGTATTGAGTATTGTTGTTTAAAATCGGAGTTTATCGGCAAACAATTAATTGACGAACTTAACATTTTCGATATGTCTTCTCCACACCATTTAGATGATTTTACGCGTGGCAGTATAATCCGCAAGATTGAAGAAAGCTGAAGAAAAAAAAAACAGATGTTGCCAAAGAGTTCGACGTCAGCCACAGTGTCGAATCAAAGCTTTGGAAGTCATTTGATACAACTGGTACGGTGCAGCAGACGTAACGAGGGGGGTCATGTTCCACGTACGACGCCTACAGAAGACAGGTACGTAGTGTTATCGACAAAAAGGAACCTTCGCAAGTGCAGCCAGTCTGGTAGCAAATCAATTTCATCCTGCTACTGGCAAGCGAATATCCAGAGAAACTATAGCTAAATGGTTGCAAGTAGGATTATACGCAAGCCAAACTGTTGTCTGCATACCATTGTACAGACGCCACCGTTACAGCTGTTTGCAATGGTGTTTTCAGCATCGCAGTTCGAGCGAAGAGTACTGTTGTACTCTTCGAAGAGTACTATTGTACTCTTCGCCTTATATATTCTTAGAAGGGAGTGGATTCAGTCTCTCGTCTAAGTGTTGACGCCAAATGATCTGACGTGAGAGGTTTAGTGAATGAAACACGCAGGAAAGGGCCCGATATCCTAAATGTAGTGTCATGGTATGTATGGGTTGGCATTATGTTTAATGGCCGTACGCTTCTCTATATGCTTTCAATTGGGACTATCTCTGGCCAACACTACATTAATGACATTCTGCTGACTCATGTTCGCTTGCTCCGTGGTGATGTTGGTGATAATTTTTTTTTATGAACGCAGCATGTCATCGAACAGTTGCTGTCGATGAGTAAGTACAATGCGAAAAAAAAGATATTACCCTGAATAACTTTTGTTCTAATGATCGGATTTTCACGTACTAAATGAAAAGGACGAAATTTTTCTGAATAAACATATAAATATTTACATATTTGGATTCTTAACTTTCAAAATACGGGGGTAGTCGCCATCTGAGAAACATCTATATGTATATTTCTCTTACACGGCGACAAATAAAAGCCTCGTTACAATTCCCCGAATGGCAACGCTAGAAAATAGACCAATGATTGCTGCTAAAAATGTCACATGCCAAATCTAGCTGAGATGGCTCAACATAAACGAAACTGAAATAACAAGAGAGAGCATAAGCTAGGCAGAAGTTAGTAGTCTTTATTGATAGATCTCTATTTTAGTATTTTGTCGAAAGCGCTTTTTTTCACGAATTTTTATATTACGAATTT